CCTCAGGCATTTTAAGGGTTAAAAGGTCGGAATATTTTATCAAAATGTGCACCTTAAGATGTTTGTCAAAATTACAAAAATATTCTGCAATCTCTGTTGATGTCACATTGTTGCATCTGACATCATACCTGTGTCCACTGAATCTTTTATTTAATTTTTCTGTTTTGCAACCCAACATAAATCAAGTTATGTTATTATTATTATTATTATTATTACCATTATTACTACTACTACTACTTTGTGATTTTTCTTTCCATTAAAAAAAAATGGTGGCATTCAACAGAAACCAAGTCTTCTCAATAATAATAATAATAATAATACACGGCTTCATTTCTGTGAGTTGGCGTTCAAAAGAACTTTACTACATTGAATGGAGAACTTTGTCCGCGTGCCAAGAAATCCCATGTCTTGATAGATGTTGTCGACAAGAAATTAATTGACAATATATATATATATATATATATATATATATATGTGTGTGTGTGTGTGTCTGTATGTTTTTGTTGAAATTACAGTCGTTAGTAATAAAATGTTCTGCAAATTCTGTTGATGTCACATTGTTGTGTGTGACATCCTGCCTGTGTCCATTGAATCTGGCCGTGATTTTTTTTCTTTTTTTTCTTAAATTGTACTCTTCTTTTAACTATTATCATTAATATTATTAAATGTTATGACTATAGCAACTAAGATGACACAAACCTGAATAGGTTTTTTGCAGAAAAGAATTCCTTATTTCAGATTTGTGCCTACAATAATTTTGTTAATCTCTTAAATTAAATTTTGTCAATTATTTGATTTTTTAACTCTTATTTCTTTTGTGTTTATTTCATTTTCTTGTGCTATAGTTCCTCAACCATTTTTCCCGAAACAAAAAATAAAAAAAAGTGAAAAGTGATGATGATGCATTCTATGGCCGGGAGAAATAAGGAATAGGTGGATGATTAGACTAGACTCATTGCAACTGGGAGGGAGTTATGGCTGTCCTCATCAATAATGCAGCTGTTGTATGATGACAGGGTACTTGAAAGAATTGCAAGCTCAAGTAGTGCTGGAGGCTTTTTCTTCATTTGCAGTTTATTTTTCTTAGTGATCACCATCGATTGAGAGTTTAAGAACTGCTAGAAAAAGCAACAGAAATTAATGAAAGAATGAAATGTAAAAATAATAATAATCGATGGTGCCTCATCACAAAAAATTAAAAAAAAAAAAATAATAAAAAAAAATAATAATACTACTAGTGTATCTAAATAAATTAGATGAAAAAAAATTAAAAAAAAACAAAAACTATAAGATTTGTTTTTCATAGCTAATATTATTTTCAGACTGGTTTAATCTTTGTGTGGGAGCCATTTATTAAAAAAAAAAAATACTGATTAACTAGAAGAAAGTAAAGGGAGATAAATATTGAAAGAAAATGATATTCCAATGCAGTTGATGTTCTCTTCAGCAAATTGAAGAGCCAAGAAAGAGTCTTATGGAATACAAGAAATATGGATGACCAAAAATGACAAAACCTTATGTTACCTTAAATAGAAAAAGTGCATTCCCAACATTAAAATATTATCATGTGACAGGCACACAATTAAAGTTTGGTCTGTTATTACTAACATTTTTCCCCTTAATGGGGACAAAATAATTATTGATCAGTTAATGCCGACTGTATAATATGATATTATAAAAATCCGGTATATTTCTAAAAAATCTGAAATCAACTATAGATTGCCAAAAAATTTGATAATAATAGATTTCTAAAAAGAAAAATTCAGTATTAAATAAAAGTTTAAAAAACCCAAAAAAACTCCAGTATTAAATACAGGTTGCTAAAAAAGACTCCAGTATTAAATATTGGTTGCTAAAAAAGACTCCAGTATTAAATATAGGTTGCTAAAAGAAACACCAGTATTAAATACATGTTGTATTAAATACAGGTTGCTAAAAGACTCAGTATTAAATACAGGTTGCTAAAGAAACACCAGTATTAAATACAGGTTGCTAAAAGAGACTCCAGTATTAAATACAGGTTTCTAAAAGAAAGACTCCAGTATTAAATACAGGTTGCACCAGTATTAAATAAAAAGAGACTCCAGTATTAAATACAGGTTTGCTAAAAAGAAACTCAGTATTAAATACAGGTTGCTAAAAGAAACTCCAGTATTAAATACAGGTTGCTAAAAGAAACTCCAGTATTAAATACAGGTTGCTAAAAGAGACTCCAGTATTAAATACAGGTTGCTAAAAGAAACTCCAGTATTAAATACAGGTTGCTAAAAGAGACTCCAGTATTAAATACAGGTTCCTAAAAGAAACTCTAGTATTAAATACAGGTTCCTAAAAGAGACTCCAGTATTAAATACAGGTTTCAAAAAGAAAAAAGATTTCTACTTATAATCAATTAATGGCTTAATGTTAATTGATGCGGATATGGGCAAGATACTTAATTGTAGCAACAAAGAAAATAAGTTTTATTACGAAAGAAAAGCTTCAGTTATTTGTGTGGAGAGGTGCTGAAAATACATTGGGAAAACCAAGAAACTCGTTAAAAAAATTGTTTTTAACAGATTGTGACAGCTATTAGGAAGATGTGATTAAATATACTTTAATGTTTAAAAAATTTATTCAATATTATTATTGCTTATGTAGTAAGCATTATAATATAGCACAAATAGCTATATTGTGGAAAAGGATATTTTTAACAATATATGCATTTTTTATGTATTTATGTTTATTTTTTAAATCTTATCAAAAACGACATTCTTGTAGTTATGGATAATATTATGCATTAATTAGTAATTTTTTAAATTAATAACTATTTGTGCTCAGTTCTTGACATTAATAACTCTCTCCTGATGTGTTAAAATTTTGGAATAATGCAATAATAAAAATTAAATGTCATCTCTCTAATAGATGTCGTGATCTGTAAAAATGGTTAATAATTTAAATGTAATGTCAATCGTTATCTACTGACTTCTTGATTCTTTTTCTTTTATTCTTCTCGTTTCTAAATAATGCCTTTCTTTTTTTTGATTCTTTCGCACTCGGTAACCACTTGAGTTTTAGTGGTTTTATTGATTTGCTTTCTTGGTTGATTTTGTTTCGCAGCATATCAACATCTCTATGGGTTATTTAATGCCGAAATCTAAATATCTTGAAAACAATTTCATGCATTCAACTGCAGATTTTGTGGAAAAAGGAATTTTTGACAATATATGCATTTTTTATGTATTTATGATTATTTTTTTTTAACTTAATTCAAAAACGACTTTCTTGTACATGTAGTTATGGATAATATTATACATTAATTACTAATTTTTTTAATTAATAATTATTCATGCTCAGTTGTTGATATCAATAGCTATCTGCTGATATGTTAAAATTTTAGAATAATGTAATAATAAAAATTTAAATTTCATCTCTCTGATAGATGTCGTGATATATAAAAATGTGTTGCTGTGTAATCATTTGGTTTCATTTTTAACCGTAAAACTCCAAATTCTATTGTGAACCTTGGCTAAATTTTTGCAAGCTTTTTTTGTTGACTGTTGTCGGACAATGGTTACTCTTATTTATAAAGGTCATAATGTTGTGATATGATTCAGGCTTTAACAATGGAAACAGGGTCTTAACATCAGCCGACTGGAATGATATGCACCATAAGCAGTCTTCCTATTATGTTGATTAGTTTTTATCATTCGATTAAGGTTGTCTGATACTGGGTGTTCACATGGTACTGCGCAGACTATGAGTGACGATAATCAAGAGGGTACCATCAGTCTTTCAGAAATGGGAGCTTAAGGCCATGTGATGTCGAAACACCACTTCTCATGTGATCACTCGATCATATTCAACAACAATAGCAACAACTAAAATGGATATTACATGCAATGCAAAAAGAAAATAATGACATAATCAAAATGTTGACATTCCACACTACTTCAAACATAAACTTAGGAAGGAAACCCCCATCAGTACTCGTCCTGGATATGAGGTTAAACTGCATCTAACAGCAAGGCCTCTGATCAGGAGGTTTTGAGGAATGTGGAACCACCTCTTAATTGCTGGTGTTCCCAGGTCCACCCTGACCCTGGGTGGTAGCACCTGTTAGGGTCCCAGCTATGGGCAAATAGTGAACTCCCAGTTTTTTTCCAGACCTTACATCCGCGTCCTGGGTATGGCGTTAAACTGCATCCGCGTCCTGGGTATGGCGTTAAACTGCATCCGCGTCCTGGGTATGGCATTAAACTGCATCCGCGTCCTGGGTATGGCGTTAAACTGCATCCGCGTCCTGGGTATGGCGATAAACTACATCCGCGTCCTGGGTATGACAACTACGTCCAACAGCAAGGCCTCTGATAATGTTTTTGAAAAAAATAATGTTGCCAGCTATACGTTTAATAGTACTATATATTTAATATATATGTGTTTGTATATATATATATATATATACCCAAGTATACAGAATGAATTCCAATAACCAACAATTACTATTCTTAAAAGAGTGATCAATACAAATTTTTTTTTTTTTTACATTTGACATCATCACTTGATAAGACACCGAGGGTGTTGAAACAAAATGGCTATTTTTGTAGTGATTTTATAACATATTTATGTTATGAATTAAAAAAAAAAAAAAATTTATAACTAAATTTGGCATTAAATGACCTCCAGTGGTTGATATGCCATAAAAACCAACCAACCAACCAACCAACTCATCAGTACTGGAACAAGCGATAACAGTTACTGGTTTTAAGAAACCTGTTTTCCTGAAAAAAAATATTTTAATAGATTTTTAAAAATTTTAACTGGAAGTAGCCCCGTCTGTTCAGTCTATAAATGCTAAATGTTTTTTTGTTTTTTTTAAGAAAATGGTTATCTTTGTACAAGAAGTAGGCAGCCATTTTATAGTTGTTCTTAAAATTTTATATTGGAATTTCTTGAATATTGAAGAATGTCTTGACCATCAATTATTCTCTCTCTTTTCATATTTTTTTTTTTTTTGCCAGGTAACTGTGAAGGTTTGATGGTCAAATCTTTGGATGTTGATGCCACGTATGAAATTGCCAAAAGATCTCATAATTGGCTCAAGGTAAGTAAAAAAAAAAAATTATAATTTCTTTTAATTCATCTAACATAAATTTTGGTGCATTCATGTTTGTTTCTTGGCTTTTTTTTTTTATAAATCCAAACAATTTGACCTAGAGCTACCAAGTTTATCCTGTAATCTGATTTTTTTTTTTTTTTAATTATCACCCACTACAAGGGAGCCTCTCAAGTTAGAGATGTATAGTCCAAATAGTAATAATGAATGAGATGTGTGATATGAATGGAAGAGAAACTGGAAGAGAAAGAAGAAATTATGAGGATAAGGAGGATAGATAATGATTGAGGTCAAGTTAGTGTTCAGACATGGGAATCTGTTCCACAAAGTGGCAGTTCTTGGCTGACGGGGACTGAAACAGTGATTGGATCTTCCTTTTTACATTTGTAACATGGAGGAAATAATTTTGGTCATATTTCCCATATGCAAGGTTCCACAGAGCTGGGTAGGTCCATCTCCAGCATATGCCTCCTCCCACGTTTTTGTATTGCGTGTGCCTCATCCTAAGGTGTGGGGGGATATAAGTTCATTCAGATCTGCAGATTTACATTTCTTTTTATATTTTTTTAACCCCAGCACTTTCAGTTTATTAACAGATTGTTTCTGAATAATTTCTTATCAAATCTTTTTTGATTTTCTTGGCTTTTTTAAATAAACGTTTTTTAATCATTTCATCATAAGCAAGGCAATAAAGCCACTAAGACAAGGCTTTACTAAGCGTGAAAGAATATGAGAAAAAAAAATTAGGGAGAAAGAATAGTGGTTAACTGGGGCAAACAATGGCTTGTAAATGTTAACGTCTCTAAAAGAAAACTGCTTTTATTTAATCAACATAAAGAACCTATTCTGCTTTCCATCATCATGGCTGATGCTAACCTCCAGATGAGAAACTCTTTGCAGCTTCTTGTGATCACGTTTTCTACTGACATGAAATTGAGTTATACTGAATCAATTGCTAGGTCTACTGCTAATAACCTCCAATCATTAGTTAACTGGGGCTAAGAAATGGCTTGTAAATTTTAACGCCTCCAAAACAAAACTGCTTTTCATCTAATCAGCATAGAGAACCTTTTCTGCCTTCCATGCTAACCTCCAGGAAGTACTAAAGATGTGCCTTCTTAAATGATGACGTTTTCTACTGACATGAAGTGGAGTGATTATATTGAATCATTTGTAAAGTCTGATGCTTAGTTCATTGTGCCAGACAATGTTTCTTATCAGAATCCATCTTGTACATTTATAAATCTACTACTCATCCGGCCATTGAATATTGCTGCTATACCTATTTTGGTGCTCCCTTATATATCTTGAGATTCTCCACAAAATCCAAACAAAGCTCTGTGATATAATCGATTCTGACCTGGCATCTCGACTTCACTTTCCTGCTGGCGTGACACGGCTTTCCTCTGCCTTTTCTACAAATATTTTCATGGCAACTGTTCGGATAAGCTTTCCTCCTAATACCCCCCCCCGCAAAATTGTACTTATAGGAACTAGTTAGGACTGCATAGGGACTTTGGAGTATTATGGTGGCCGAGGTGTGTGCAACAGCCAAAATATCGTGAATATGGCAATAAAGATGAGGACAACAAATAGGTTTTACCATTTTACTGATTGACTAGGAAGATATAACCGTAAGTTCTATTCTAATAGTTTCTTTTCTTGCACTTCTCGCCTGTGGAATTCTCTTCAGGTTTCTTTCATCCCTGCCGCTTACAAAAAAATTCATTTTTAAAAAAATAAAATACAATGCTAATTGACTTCTGCATGGAGGAATGGTAGACTTATAAATGAGTAAGATAGATTCTAGGGACACAGCACTGTAAACCAAATTTCTTAGCAATGGATTTGATATAATATTTCCACTTTATGCTTTATGTCAGCCAAGATTGTCAGTCTGAGACAGTGTGACGAGTCACTATCAAGGAGGTTAGTAATAAACCATAGTAATGGGAAGTAGTGATTAATAGAGAGAAGTTTCATTTTGGGGATGTTTAAATTAACAAGCAAATCTTTTGCCCCAGACTGTTGAGATCAACTGCCAATTTGAGCTTATCAAACTGATGAGACTTGCTAACAAGACAGGAATAAATTGTTGTCATCAGCATAGATACTGAGTTGAGAGTTGATGACATCAGGAAGTTCATTGATGTTGGCTAAAACCAAAGTGAACCTAAGGATAGTACTCTTGGGAATATCTGCCTTAGTACAAAATTAACATGCCATTCATTGCCCCAGTTAACAACAGATTGTAACTGATTTTTGAGATCATCTGCAAATTTGACTTTATCAAACTGATCAGGATTGAGACAGGAGTAAATTGTTGTGTCATCAACATAGATACCAAATTGAGAGCTGATGACATCATGAAGATCATTGATGTTGGCTAAGACCAAAGTGAGCCTAAGGATAATACTCTTGGGAATATCGGCCTTAGTATAAAAAGATCTAGAAGTGGGGCCATTAAGTATAACTTCCATTTTACTATTTGAAAAAAAGACTGAATCAGTTCAAAAATTCGTCTGGAAATACCATAGCCTTTCAACTTATGAAGCAGACTGTTAGGCTACACGCTGTGAAACACTTTCGAAACATCCAAAGCAACAGCCTGAGCTTCACCATTATTATCTAAAGCATAATAGACTCTTCTAGCAATAATCGTTAATACATCAGCAGTTGACCTAGAGAAGCGAATATCAGATTGCTTGTCTAAAAGAAGAGTTTGCAATGAGAGATGCTTAACCAATTCAGAGTTGATTTAAACTAATATTGATAATGTCTGGCTATTTCCAAATTAAATTCAAATATTTAAATTTTAAAAGTAGAGAAACCTGTAAAATAAAAGAATATATTACCTCCTAGCTTAAAAGCCAGCTGATAAGGCAGCATTTAAACTAGCTTCTGTGGAGGGCTTTTAATTGAGCCTACATTACAATAGGTAGGGAGGTGTAAATGCAATGGGGAAAACAATAAACTGCTGAACTCAAAATTGATCGCTGCATTTAAGTATTGCATTAATATTTAAGTTTACTTTTTAAAAGTTCAACAATAATTCTTCTGCTGCCAATTAATTTAAAGACAGTTTGATGCACGTAGGTCCTTACTTCCCATACAGACAATTATTTTTATTACATGGATGACTTTTGCTGGATTTCGCAATTAATTTTGATTATTTTCAAATTTACTTTAAAGTTATAAAAATTATCGTACAAGAAAATTTGTCACAAAAAATCATATAAAAAGAAAACAAAAAAATCGTTGTAAACATTCACAGTAATAAAAACTTGGGAATCCAAAATTTTAAGATTATGGATCTAACCTGGAATGTTTGTAATTTGATCACAGTCAGCCTGATTCTAAAATGGTTATGGCCTCTTTGAGTAAAGTTGAAAAATGTTGACACATTGACATTTAACAGGTTCTTAGCATAAAAAATTGATAATTTTTAAAAAATCAATAACAAATAAATCTGATCAAAAATCAATAAATTCATATAGAAGAAATATATTTCATGAAACTCTTCCAAATTGAACTTTGGAATTTAAAAAAAAAACAAACTTATGGATAACTCATATTTGAATCTAGTATTTAATAATCTTGTCTTGGTTATTAAAAACATGACTAATTGATATTGAAACTTGACTAATTTAAACAAAGACTATTTTGTTGTTCTTTAGCATGATTGTTACACCCTGGCAATTTATCAATATATATATATATATATATATATATATATATATACATGTATATAAAATAGAGGGTGTCTGTCTGATACCTTTTTACTCAAGATCCATCCAACTGATTTTGACCAAACTTGGCACATACATTGTACAATGTAAGAGATGGGTTCTTAGCATAAAAAAACAATAATTTTTAAAAGATCAATAAAGCCAATTAAAAATCAATAAATTCAACTTTTTTCCTCTGATTTCATTCAAACTTGGTATGTAGGTTACTTACATCATGATGAGCTCAACGATACCTCATTTTTATGTCTATGCCACTGCATTTAGCGAAAAATGAAAAATTGATTTCAACACAAGTTTTAAAGCAAATCTCCCTCAATTTTCAAGCAAACTTCACTCAATTGTAGCCAATTGTTTAACAGTCATTTAACTTGATAATTGAGTCCACCTGTATAGTGAAAACCCATGTAAATAGCAATTTTTACTGGTTTCTTTTTTAATTTTTATTGATCTTTAAACCAATTTTCATCAAACTTAACAATTGCTTTATAAATGTATCCTCTTTTACATCCCTGGTAGCACAATGACAAATTGAATTTCAAAAACTCCAAAATAATTGTGGTATGAAGTGGGTCTTCATGTTGCCTGTTTTACCCCTTCATGTCATTGGCTAACTTTGATGGAATAAATAAAGACTACTTCTGTTATATCAGTGACTGCATCAATTCAAAAAGTTTTTTTTAATGAAAGTACTTTAAAGTAATTGAAGAAGATAGACTCTGTTACATCTAAACATGATGCTGTTTTTGCTCCATTCTAATTGAATGCTTTTTCTGATTGACCAGCTGGGTATAGCTGCTAGGCATAAATAATGGACTATTCTATTTGCGAGGAAAGAAAGAAAAGACATTTTATATACACTGTTTGGTTTCAGCGAGAAAAAGAAAGAACAAAATGGTGATAATACTCTCATGCAGTTAATGTCTGCTTCAGTGAAATGGAAAATCTTGTCATTTTTTAATATTTTCATTTGTACCCTCTTATTTCTTTGAATAGCAACTGGCCACTCATATCCAAAGACGCCAATATACTAGGGTGGCTAGCCAATCCCTATTGTAGACGCTTGCTCAGGCACATTTGTGTTTATTCAACACCCACAGAGCACACCTGTGGTTTATACTATAACTGAACAGACCGTAGTTACAATTTCTGGGAGAGTGCATATTGCATATTATCTGGCATGATCAACAATATGAACAAGGCCAGTATGCTCAAACTCGGTCATGATGACTTGTTACTTTGTGCTTGCAAAACTATTGATGGCCCCAAATCATTCCGTCTACCCAGTTTCAGTCACCAGGCATGGCTTAAACTGTGGTGTGGTTTTCAGGCACTTTCTAAAGGTGCTACATACAATGATCACCTCCCCCGCAAACCAATAATATCAAGAAGTCACCTTCGTGACAAATTGACCATGGTGAGAGTCAAGCCCGGGTCTCATGTTTAGAAAGTGAACAGTTTAACCACTCGGCCACGTGCCCATATATTTTGTTGAATAAAGACCTGCATTCAAACTTATGATCATTATTGTAATCTTTTGTTAAAGTTGTTAAGCTCAAATATTTAAATAATGCAATAGGGAAATTTCTGTGAATATTTTATAGCTTTAAAATTTGCAAGGATCTTATTCAGTTGTTAACAATTCAGATACATCAGAAAATTCAAATGATGAAATTGAGAAATTTCTATGGTTATAGCTCATGATTAATTAATATCTTAAATAAACACAATTAATATTTAAATCTAACTTAAATAAAAGTGACCAATATTTTTTGTAATTCCCATTTATTTATCGGAATAATTTTATAATTTTTTTTCTGATAAGTTTCTATTTTTTCTTTTAAATTTCTAGTTAAAGAAAGATTATCTGGATGCTGTTGGAGATACCTTGGATCTTGTTGTCATTGGTGGCTATTCAGGTACAGGCAAACGTACTGGACGATATGGAGGATTTCTTTTGGCTTGCTACGATGAGGAGAATGAAGAATTCCAGACCATTTGCAAAGTGAGAATCAAAGAGAAGATAAGAAACTCTTTTCATTCAAGAATTAATTAACGAATTTAATTAACCTATTAACGTTTACTGTCCTAGTTTTTGGATCATTGGCAATAGTGGGTCATAGGCAGAAACTTACAATACTGAATTTTTATAATTCTACAATTACTACCAGATTTTTTTAGAAACCTTTATTTAATGCATTTTGAGAAACCTATAATTAATACTGTCGATTTTATAAAAATCTCTAATATTTTAGTTTTTGTAATCCTTTAATTAATAATGGTTATATTTTAGAAAATCATAATACCAAATTTTTTTAGAAACCTATAGCAGATTTTTTTAGAAACCTTTATTTAATGCATTTTTGAGAAACCTATAATTAATACTTTAGATTTTATAAAAATCTCTAATATTTTAGTTTTTTATAAGCCTTTAATCAATAATGGCTATATTTTAGAAAATCATAATACCAAATTTTTTTTAGAAACCTATAATTAATATAAGATATTTTTAAAATCTATAATTATATATAAATTATATAATTATATATTATAAGTTAAAATGTAGATTTTAGTCTATATTTGCCGTACGAGACAACCTCCTCAAATTGTATTTTAAAATGTATTGAATTTATTACATAAATTCACTAAACATATATTTTCTTTTCATTCAAATTCTAATGAAAATCTGTGGAGTGATACTGTCAATTACCTACCATAATCTACAATATCTCATTAATGTGTTCTGCTGGTAGGCTATTACAGTAGCCTGAATGATTTTTCTCCGCTAAAACATCCCTTTGTTCCACTCTTCTTGAATATGATTTTAAATGGCTTGTTGAGACACACATCCAGTTGTGTTTGGGTGCCTCGGCGTGGTGTAATGGCTAACAAGCATGTCTCGCTAGATCAGTTACGATTGAAAAGTGAGTTCGATCCTCACTAGGTACTCCATACTTTCGGCCTTGTGCCACATCTAAGCTACGCTTAGAAAATAACCACATCTAGTTGTGTTTTTGTTTAACATCATGGAAAAAAGGAGGTGAAGCAGAGGTTAGCCTACCATCAAAAATCTCCCATGCTAACAACCTACCATAAACCCCAAGATTTAAGGTTCACATTTTACCTGGAATATGATATAGCCCCCTATTTTGGGGGGGATTTTTCAGGTTGAAAGGTCACTTTGTATGCCAACATATAAGGTAATACTAGTTGTTTTAAAATCTATGGTTAATACTGAAATTTCTTTTTAGAAACATATAATTAATGCAATAGTGATTTTTTTTTTGATAAGGTTATTTAAGTGCCAACCACCATATAGAAAGGTTGATTTCTCATAGGCATCCAGTGACAATTCTCAGCTCATAAAAGTGACCCAACTTCTCTTTTATGGATCATATGTGGTAACAAAATTTACAACAGATATGTTCAGTAATGAAAAATGGTCTCAATGAAGTTAGGTGTTTCCTTGCAGAAAACATTTTAATATTCATTGAGTGTTTTCATCAGTTGAATTTACATCAAATCTTTGCCAGACGTTCTTTCCTAGCAAAATTTTTCATAGTCATTAATTTCTAGATTAAAATTTTTTTTTTTTTTAATTTTAAAAATACCATCATAGATTATTTTTTTTCTTAATATGTTCACTCTCCTTCATCTCCCATTTTTTCTTTTTTTTCTTTTCTTTTTTCTTTTCTTTTTTCTTTTTTTTTTTTTTTTTTTTTTTTTTTTTTTTTTTTTTTTTTTTTTTTTTTTTTTTTTTTTTCTTCTTTTTTTCTTCTTTTTTCTTTTTTTCTTTTTCTTTTCTTTTTTCTTTCTTTTTCCTTTTTTCTTTTTTTCATTTTCTTTTTTCTTTTTCTTTTTCTTTTTTTTTTGACAACCTTTTTTTCAGATTGGCACTGGATTCAATGATGAAGACTTAGAGAAGCACGCTACATTCTTTAAGGAACACATAATTAACAAGCCTAAGCCTTACTACCAATGGGCTTCAAGTGTTGAACCTGACCATTGGTTTGAAGCTGTCCAAGTGTGGGAGGTCAAAGCAGCTGATTTGTCCATTTCTCCTGTCCACAAAGCAGCTGCAGGAAAAGTGAGTAGAAGAAAAACAAATTTTTTACAGTCCAACGCCTCTAAACCAAACATCCGAGATGTTCGGTATTGAGGGTAATGTTTGGATTTGAGGAAGAAAAGGTTGCTGTGGCAAGCTTAAAATTTTTATTAAGTTTTAGAGTTTAGGATACAAAAGGGAGTTTGTAACGTTGATTCATTTTATTTAAAGTGTAGATTGAATAGATAAATGTACAGAAAATAATTGACAAACAATAATAATGAAAATATTTTTGCTAAATAAATATTGTAATTTGTGAAAAACTAAGACACTTTATGAAATGTTTAAAAATTTATGAAATATCTTATTTAAAAACAATTACAATCTGTAAAAGGAAGACAAAAATGAAGATATACAGTACAATTCCTCTAAACTTGAACATCCGAGATGCTTGTTATTGAGGGTAATGTTCTGATTTGAGAAAGAAAAGCTTTCATATTTATGTCAATACAAAAGTTTGGATTTGAAGATGAGTCCAAATTCAAGGAAGTCTAATTCATACTTTGTTTGGGATTAGGGAGTTCTACAGTACTACACTTTGATCCCAGCTGATTCTAAGTAAATACACTGTACAACGTAAATAATACCTTCATTTTTTTCTGAGTAGTAGCCATTAGCATAGAGTTTGGTCAAATTGACATTCTTTTGTTCCATGAAAAGTTTTCGTAAAGCATTTCTCGTTTTATTTTCACAGGACAAAGCAGCTTGTAAAATTTTCTCTTTCTCTTTTTTTATATAAAAAAAGTATGCCCCTTCCAATATTATATTTTTTCATTAGAACAAAGTTACTTATTCCTTTATTTATATTGTCAAGTATTTCTCGTTTTTTTAGATAATTCTCTTCCTTTTTGAACTTAATGATATTATTATAGGCAAGAAATATCTTATTCAAAAACAATTACAATCTGTAAAGGAAGTCAAAACTAAGGATATGCAGAACTCTTCTAAACCGAACATCTGAGATGTTTCTTATTAAGAATAATGTTCTGATTGAAGGAAGAAAAGGCTTCATATGTATGTCAATAGAAAAGTTTGGATTTGAAGATGAGTCCAAATTTGAGGAAATCTAGATTATGCTATGTTTGGATTTGGAGAGTTCTACTGTATTTTGGAATTTTATCTTTGTATTTATTGATGTGGTTTCTTAATATGTTGAGGCATTTTATAACAGACATATTTGTATATAATGATTTGATATGTTGTTGGGGATGTTTAGAATTTATTAATTATAATTGAGAGAATCAGAAGGAATTTGTGTAGGTTGCGTGACTTTCTGCATCCACAAACAAAAAACTAATTTTAAATATGATCAAAAACAAGACATATTCAATTTAGAAACCAATAAAACATTTATATACAATTCAAAGTAATATACATACAGGATATTTGGTATATGTTACTATGGCAAAGTGTGTGTGATATTTTAGGTTTCGGTATGTCTCTCTTAGTATTTGTTTGTTCATTTACAGTCTTTCTAGATTTGTGTTGATATTAAAAATGTCGATATTAAGTGTACCTTTGACTGTAATATTTCTAAATCGTTCGCACGTTGATTTTTACTTAATAGGTAGTGAATATAATTCACTTTGGATAAGCAAGGTTTGTGGTTCGATGTCCACAGTTGGTTGAGTTTAAATTGCAAGTGAGTCACCGTTGATGTACTTTTGTGCGGTAAAATCGTGATTTCGAGTGACGTGGAGTATGTTGGCAATTTCTCTGTGGATGTTCGTCTGACTGCTTTGGTCAGTCGGCGTTTTCTTTTATATGTTTTTGAAAGTCTAAAATCGGCTCAAAGAAGTTTTGGCGCAATTTCGTTTTTGCATGTGAAACTTTCAGATTATTGTGTTGTTAACCAATGAGATTTGTTGATTCGCCTAGTACAGTTTTTATTGGTTGAAGTTTTCTGTACGTAGGCATAAGATATAGACTGTTCTGTTACTAGAGGTGATAGGTAGGAAAAGGACGAGTCTACAATGTAACCGAGCCATATCCTTGTTTTTCATCCTTTGGATTAAGTCTCCAGAGTATTTAATAAGTGTTGGGTTGATGGTGCCTAAGAATGGAGGCACTCTTACTGGAACAATCCAGTAAAAAGATTGTTGAAATAATTTTAGCTAATTTCAAGTGTGCACTGTTTGATGCCAGATGCTGAACATGTTGATAGTTCTATGAAGTAACAATTCATTGTGACAGCAGATTTGAATGTACTGGCCTTATTGATCATACAACATGATGCACTCTCTCCCAGAAACTGTAACTAAGGTCTGCTCAATGTAGTTGCAGTATAAACCACAGGTGGGCTCTCTGGGAGTTGAATAAACACAAATCTGCTTGGGCAAGCATCTAGCCACCTTAGAAGACGGATGTGCTCAGAAATGAGTTTCTGGCCATTACACATATATAATACAAGTACACCTAGTGAAATAAATAAAATTACTTGAATTTACTGTATTTCAAAGTAAGTACTATTTTTATCAAGAAAGTCCTGACTAGTCAGTAAATTGATAAAGGTTCAAATGATTTATCTTTTGACCATAGCAAGTTTTTACAGATACACTGTCGTCATCCATTGAATTACTACCAGATGTCATATTTATACTCTACATAATATACATTAGCCATAGACTCCAAACAAATTTGAAATTTCTACTATCGAAAACTATGTTGGCAAGATGATGGTATTTAAATATTTAGCAATATTACAGTTAAAATGTTTGATTTTTTTTTATACTGACATAGAATGTGCTTTTATTAAAAAATAAATATTAGAAAATAAATTAAAACTCAACAAATTCAATCAATAAACTGAGCTTAAGCAACCAAAAAGAAAACCAAAAAATAAGCTACCTTAACTCAACGAAAACAGGCTAATACTCAATAGAACAGATCAGAAAATTCCATCTGGAAACCCAATCCAGTAAAAAGCAGCTCTTTTCAAGACTAGCCACAGAAACCTATTATTTCATGTGTGAGCCATTAATTTGGATTTAAAATAATTGTTTTTCAAACCCAACTTTGAATTGACTTTGATTGTTTTGTTTTTTCTTCAAAGGTTGGCTCCGAAAAGGGTATTTCCCTGCGATTTCCCAGGTTTTTACGGATACGAGATGATAAAAAACCAGAAGATGCTACTTCCGCTAGTCAGGTACAGTAGAAACTAATTTTCTGAAAAATGTATAATGCAGGGGAAATCACTCTGGTTTAGAGTTTCTTGAGTAACCTCCCTTGCAATATTTTTTTTATTAATTAGCTGACGGAGTTTTTTCTTTTTTTTTTTTTTTGAGGAGTTATCTACCTTATTACAAAATGTCTCACATGACGAATATTACGGTTTAAATTTTAAACAACGATTCTGATAACATTTATTTTCAATGCAAATCTCTAAAATGTATATTTTTTAGAGTACGACAAGTAAGTTTCATCATATATATTTTAAATCATTTCATTCCAAGCAAGACAATAAAGTCACTAAAATGCAAGGAGTTACTGAATCTGAGAGAATATGTGAACAGAACAAAAGAAAAAACAACAAACAAAAAACATACTGTTAAGAAGAGAGAATGATAAAAGAACAGCAATTAAGAAGACAGTTGATAACGAGTAACATTGTAATTAAAGTTTTGATGATTAAAACTTGACTGGGAATCAACAAGCTGAAAGAGTTTTACAAACAAAAAGTGTGAGAGAAGAAACTGTTGGCATAGAACGTATAATTAAATCTATCCATTTCAACTAACTATATATATATATATATATATATATATATATATATATATATAAAATAATGGACTAATGGACTCTCCTGTCGGTTTCAATGTATGAGGATCTGACAGCTTATTGATTCAGTTATGAAAGTTTGTGCGGTAATCTTAAGTGTCATTTAGGACCCACTAGTGATTTAGGAGGCCACATATGGAGCAAGTATGAGGAATTATATATATATATAATTTAATTTAAAAAACCTCATGTATAGTAATTCGAAACAGTCCTGATTCAATGCTTGGTAGTGGATGCACTGCTGATGAATCCTAGATAGGACGAAACGGCCGTACTGTGTTTTCTGCATTCTGTTGAGGATTATTCTAGGCTCGACGAATTACTATATGATTAGTCTAAATCCCCAAAATAATCACTTTATATATATATATATATATATATATATATATATATATATATAAATTAATGCTAGTAAAGGGTTTGAAACTTAGCTGATTGATGTTACCTTCAGCATTCCAACTCTATAGTTTCATAGACAAATTCTCTGGGAATTACACTGTCAGCGATTATAAGCTATTGACTGCTGATACTTCTAGATTTTTCTTTTTTATATGCACTTTCCTTTGCTGCAATTTTTTTTTTTTTTTTTTTGCATACGCATACAGGAGGAAGCAAAAGTCACACACCATAGGTGTAATTTATTAAAAGCATAATTGCACATGAAAATATTATTTACTAATTATTTAACGGCGATACGGGCTGTTCAAAATGTCCTTTTCCTCTTTTTCAAAACCCATTTCAATTCTGTGCCTGCATGATTCCTCTTTTTACGTCATTCATATGTAATTCTTTATTTCTTGGGTAATTTATTTCTTTCAGCCATTTTATTTTGTCAAAATTGTTTCTGCAAAATAAGAAAATATCAAAATAAATTAAACATTTAAAACATGATTATTATTATTCTTTTATTATTCTCTCTTCTTAACAATTAACCTCTATGATTTGCGGCTTTTGCCTCACCTTGTATATATAAGAAAATACATATGTAATAATGTATACATGCATGATTACACACATGCTAACCATCTATGAATGTAGATACAATCATTCTAACCACATCTATTGTTACATTCCAAAAAAAATGTTTCTTTTTCTTTCCTTTGCAGGTTGCCGAAATGTACTGTAGCCAAGAGCAAGTGAAAAACACCACAGACAAGACTGACACAAATATGATGGATGATGATTTTTATTGATGATGGCTTTTCATTGGACGCTTCACAAAGGAAACTCATTTTAAAAACCAAAGCCATTGACAATGAAATGAAGTGACGAACATATTGACAACACATGACTTTCAAATGAATCATTCATTTATTAAAAAAAAAATGAAAAAAAATGTCATTATTCAAATTTTTTTATCACTTGAATTTCACTTGATTTTCTTATGCTTTTGTTAAGGGTTTATTTCTATTTTAACTTTAGGAAAATTAAAAAGTTCACTTATTAATACTTAAACTTTGTTTTTTGTCTTCTTTCCATATTGTCAGGTGTATCATTATTCCCTAAACTGATTTCTTCTCTTTTAAGATTTTATTTTTCATAGTTTTTCCCCAAATTTCCATTTTCTCTACATTAATTTTATTTAATATATCTATTAAAACTAATCTATTTGAAAAATTTAAACATGGCCTACCTGTAAACTCTAGTATAAACCTGGTAAGTGTTTGCCTGTAGACTCCGGTATAAACCCGGTAAGTATTTGCCTGTAGACTTTGGTATAAACCCGGCAAGTGTTTGCTTGTAGGCTTGGGTAAACGCATGATTAATGAACACAGGTCTTTAATACAATTGGTGTTTAAAATTAAAAATTAAAACTGCAACTTATTTTTCATAGCAAACCAGTATTTTGCTTCTTCTGTTTTATGATCATTTTGTCATTCCCCTGTTTTTGTTTTTAGCTAAAATGCTTTTCTGATTTGGATACCAGGACAGATTGATCATGTGAACCACATTTTATATATATATATATATATATATATATATTTTCAAGCATGTTTGGTTGAATAATCTAGATATTATGTCTATTTTTGTTTTAATCTTCTCAAATTCACAGATTAATTTTTTAATGTTATTAAACTCATTAAGGAAGGTGCCATAGTTTTTTTCATTTCTTTTATTATCCCAAGTACTTTCAACCTCATCTAGGATGATCTTCAGGAGTGAATTGCTGAGATAAAGACTTAATCTAATTAATGGTTGGGAGTTTTTTTATGTAAATGCACATGAAACATGCTCCGATAAAGTCAATTTAAAAATGATCATTAATAAGATGTAAGGGAGGTAATTTAATTTTATATTTTTTATTATTAATATTTTTAGATAATCAACATGCAATTAAAATTAATTTTTAAATTGACTATAATGGAGTGCATTTCATGTGCATTTACAAAAAAAATTCCCAACCATCAATTGCATTCGTTTTTTGTCTTAGCAGTTCACCCTTGAATCTTGGATGAGGTTGAAAGTGCTTAGGAAAATAAAATAAATAACCAATACTAATACTATGGTTTCTTTCTTAATCAGTTTTGTCACAACACTAAGAAATTGATACATGAATTTGAGAGGATTAAAATGAAAATAGACATAATACATCTAGATTATTCAACCATATATATATATATATATATATATATATATATATATATATATTATGGCATGCTATATTTTTATGGGCTAAAGTGCTCAATATCAAGGATAGTGTATGCAAATATGAAACAAAATATTCAGGCCATGAAGATTGCATTTAAGCATGAAACTGTTGCTGCTGGGTGTTGGCCTCAATGTGCATTTATATATTGCCGATATCCCCTGATGAGTGAACGGAGTAATTGTTGGAGGGTCTGATTATGAAACTTGTGTCAAGATGCTGAAGATGATATCAATCATCTTAGCAACAAATTTTACTTATTTTTGTATTAATCATATATATATATATATATATATATATATATATATATATATTTTTTTTTTTTTTTTTCACTAATTTTTCAACTACTACAATGCTCAAGATCCACTCAAGGTAGGGTGTTACTGATAGAAGTTGTTGAATGAACTTAAGGATTAGGTAAGTGCAGTTTGTGCACATACACAGGAATGACAACACTTAATACTAGACTTTAACACTTTCACTGCTACTCATTTGCCCAGTGCTGCCCCCATCCGACCAGCCATTTTTAAAGAAAATGCCAAATTTCAACCTACATATTTTATCACACAGAAAACTGGCACCAGTGTGTTTTACAGCCTTCCATTTTCATGGATATACCTGGGAATGACTTACCAGACCAGTAATGGGTATACACATGATATCTTTTGAAGCATTGTCCTTTGTGATTTTTACGATAGATGGCAAATGTCCCACACTCATAACAGCGGTATGCAAAAAAACGTAAGTTTCCGTGCTTAGCCAGCTGGAGCAAGATAAGAAAAACGAAGATCTCCGTAGTTAGCAGCGGAAGTTTAAGAGGTTAAGATTGTCAGTAATTAGGGAAACATCCTTTTGGGAGTTTCAGAAAATAGCAGTTCTTGGGAAGAAGCTGATCAATTGGAACTTCTTTTGTACCAATATAATATGAAGAGACAATACATTTACATTATATATATATATATATATATATATATATATATATATATTGATATATATTGGGCACATGGTCGAGGGGTTAGAATGTTGCGTTTCTGACCATGAGACCCTGGTTCGTATCTCACCACGGTTTATTTGTCAGGAAAGATACTTCCTGATGTTATCACTCTGGGGGAGTGGGGAGGGGGGCGAATGATCCCAGTGTGTGGCACCATTGGAAGGTGTCAGAAAACCATACCACGTGTTGACCCAAACCTTGTGCATGAAATTGGGTAGATGGAATCCTTGGGGGACGTAGATAACTGTGCTAGCACAAAGTCACAAGTCATCATGGTAGAAAGCCAGAGCATGCTGCCCTTGTTTAAATTGTTGATAACACACTCTCTCCCAGAAACTGTAACTAAAGTCTGCTCAGCATAGTTGCAGTATAAACCACAGGTGGGCTCTGTGAGTGTTGAGCAAATACAAAGGAGCCTGAGCGAGCGAGCGTCTGCTACAGGGATTAGCTAGCCGGCCTTGTAGATGGGTATCCTTAAATATGCCTAGCTATGTTTATTGAGGGGTTGATGTTAGTCCAATACAAAATTTTTAATTTAAATTTTCATATATTTATTTTAAAATCAAATAATCTAAAAAAAAAAAAATTCTCTGCTTTTCATCAATAGTGACGGGCTTTTAATGGAAGAAATATGCGCAAATGAAATGAATCGTAGGGTGAAAGATAAACGAAAAAAAAATGAATCTTAAAAAGATTTAAATTTAGATTTTTGTATTGATAGAACAAATAAGAAATGCTTGTCAGTCTAACATGTTTCACTTTTATTAAAGCTTCATCAGAGAATGAGATATGGAGAAAATTAAGATATATATATATATATATATATATATATATATAAAGAAGATACTATATATGAGTTTGGATCAAATATGAATCATCAGAAAATGAGATATGGAGAAAAAGGATATATCTGTTTATTTATTTATAATAAATGTTATTGCATATATATATATATATATATATATATATATATATATCTCATTTTCTGATTATTCATATTTGATCTCAACCCATATATAGTAACTTCTCTCTCTCTGTGTGTATATATATATATATATATATATATAACCATTTTCTTTTCAACATCTCTCTCTCTCTGTGTATATATATATATATATAATATAACCATTTTCTTTTCAACATCTCTCTCTCTCTCTGTATATATATATATATATATATATATATATATATATATAATATAAATCCATTTTCTTTTCAACATCATCACTTGATAAGACACAGAGTGTGTTGAAACAAAATGGCTATTTTTTCATAGTGATTTTATAACATACTTATTTATAAATTTTTTTATAAAAATAATTATATATATAATATATATATATATATATCTCCAAATATAAAAAAATAAAAAGAATATAAATTCAAACATTCATAACATTAACTTAAAAAAGGGCTCAATACAAGATGTAGGGCAATAAATATTTATTATAAACTGTTACATTGGAACATGCAAGTTACCGCGACGAAATTGCATATTTGTTTCGGCGTCCAAAGACTTCTCGTCCGGTGGTTAACATTGGTGGTATATATATATATATATATATATATATATATATAGAGAGAGAGAGAGATGATAATATATATGAAAAAGAAAATAATAGGAGTTGGGATCAAATATAAATAGGAAACTGGAGTATAACATGTTTCACTTTCATTGAAGCTCCATCAGAGAAAGTGATATGGAGAAAAAGAAGAAAGTATGTCTATTTTTATTTTTGTGTTGCTTGACTTTTATTGATTAATCATGTTTCATATGCATTCGACTTGTTCAACCAACGTTAGTATAATTTGTAGCATTCTGAATTTAAGATGAGACGATGCGACCAATCAGAGTTTCAAGAAATTAACGGATTCCAAGCCTACCTGAAAAACCGTAAATATTGCTATATGTATGTAAGTGTATAATTTGTTTTTAGTTTATCTATGTCGGAATCAGATGATGATATATATTAGTGTGTGTAGTAGATATTATGTTTGTTAGTTTTCCTCATATCTATCTATCTATCTCGGTATGTTCATATCCATCAATATCTATGATGAATTGGGATCAATTACGGATCGAAGTCCGACAAAATGATTGGATAAAGAACAAATAGGAAACGTTTATCAATGAAACATGTTTCACTTTTATTAAAGCTTCATCAGAGAATGAAACATGGAGAAAAAGAAGAAATAAATTCTGGTATATTTTACTTTTATATTGTTTGATTTTCATTGGTCAGTTATGTTTCACGTGCATTCGAGTCTTTAGACCAAAATTAGTATAATTAGTATGTATAGTATAAACCATAGTTAGTATAATTCAAGGAGAGACGACGTGTCCATCCTAAGTTTCAAGAAATTAATGGATTCCAAGCCTACCTGAAAAACCGTAAATATTACTATATTTAAGTGTATCATTATTCTAGTTTTTATATGTGGGATTCAGATGATAATGTATATTTGTGTGTGTGTATGTATGTATGTATGTATGT